ACTGCCAGTTGGCTTTCATTCTTATGCAGGTCAGAATGATGTTCTCTATGAGCCAGGAACTTATCGCCGTTACCTAAGTACGTATCGATTATATTATTTGTCTCAATAAAGTTCATATAAAGTGATTCAACTTCTTTTGCTTTCCTAGTACCTGGAGATGGAGTAGGTCTTGTCAGTATCATCAATAATATCAGCAATGTATTTCCACCGAGTCCGCCACTCTCTCAGGGTATTTCAGAATTTTGCAATGGAGATAATCTTCCTCGTAATTGTTCAACGCACTATGAATGCACTCACGTATTAGAGGTTAAACGACATTCAGTTGTCGAGGTTATGTTATACGATATATGTAAGAATTTAGAATATTTTATTCATTTATTAGGCTAACAATGAAATTAATAGTATTATATATTATCATCAGCTGTACTTGGACTCTATCATCCGTTTCATCTTCACGGATATGATTTCTACGTTTTCGATATGGGAAATTTCACGAGTAACGATACGGAGGGCAATGTAAAGTCGATACTAGCAAATCACGAAAATAAACTTCGTAATGGGGGATACAAGAATCCTCCAGGAAAAGATACAGTTTTGTTACCCAGCGGAGGTTACGTCATATTACGTTTCAAGGCTGACAATCCAGGTAAACAATTGACAATTTTGTTAGTCCATAGGTGACATAATCTAAAGCTACTATTAAACTAAAATGGTTCCCTCTTGTGTTTCAGGCTGGTGGCTTTTCCATTGTCATATAGTTTTTCACATGATTGTAGGAATGGATCTGATTTTCCACGTTGGAAATGATTATGTTGATCTTCCACCTGTTCCACCTTTCTTCCCACGCTGTTACAATTTTAAGCCAAAACCTTTTTTTAACATGGATCCGTTTTTTATCTAACAATCACCAAATAATATTGGGTGATTATTAAATTCTTGTTACGCAAATATTATCAAAATTTTCCCGAAGGAGCATAGAGTGATTGACTTTCGGTAATTTTTTAGCAGAGAAACTACAATCTTACCAATGGAATATACGTACCCCGTAAACGTCTGTACTTAAATCTTATTACTTTGGTACGTTATTGGTTAATTGTTAGTAAAGTTTCGAAAAGTATATTGAAAACATTTGGGGTAATTTTGGTAATAAAAATTCACAAAAGCATCGAAGTTTGTTTTTTTTTTGTTACTTTTAACTTTAACCTTGACGAACATCAAGAATCCT